CGCTCCCCGGAGGAGCCAGTGCCCCTGCTCCACTGTGTGAACTGCCCTTGGAAGCCACAGGTGCCGGCGCGCTCGCCTGGGGACCGCCCTTGGAAGCCAGAGGCGCCGGCGCGCTCGCCTGGGGACCGCCCTTGGAAGCCAGAGGCGCCGGCGCGCTCGCCTGGGGACCGCCCTTGGAAGCCAGAGGCGCCGGCGCGCTCGCCTGGGGACCGCCCTTGGAAGCCAGAGGCGCCGGCGCGCTCGCCTGGGGACCGCCCTTGGAAGCCACCAGTGCTGGAGCACTTGCCTGGGGACTGCTCTTGGAGACCACTGACACTGGAGTGCTCACCCCTGAATTACTCTTGGAGGTCACCAGCACAGCAGCGCTCGCCTGCGGACCACTCTTGGAGGCCACCGGCACAGCAGCGCTCGCCTGGGGACCACTCTTGGAGGCCACTGGCAGTGGAACATTTGCCCCTGAACTGCTCTTGGAAGCCACCAGTGCTGGAGTGCTCACCTGGGGACTGCTCTTGGAGGCCACTGGGACCAAAGCACCTGCCTGGGGACTGCTCTTGGAGGCCACTGGCGCTGAAGCGCTCGCCTGGGGACCACTCTTGGAGGCCACCGGCACTGAAGGGCCTGCCTGGGGGCCACTCTTAGAGGCCACTGGAGCTGAAGCACCCACTTGGGGACCGCTCTTGGGGGCCACCAATGCTGAAGCACCTGCCTGGGGACTACTCTTGGAGGCCGCCGGCGCCAAGGCGCCCACCTGGGGACTGCTCTTGGAGGCCACCGGCGTCAAGGCACCTGCCTGGGGACCGCTCTTGGAGGCCACTGGTGCTGAAGCGCCCACTTGGGGACTGCTCTTGGAGGCCACTGGTGTCGGAGCACCGGCCTGGGAACTGCTCTTGGAGGCCACTGGCGCTGGAGCATTTGCTTGGGGACTGCTCTTGGAGGCCACCAGTGCTGGAGCGCTCACCAATATATTTTTCTTTTCTGTCAGCAACACATTTTCTTGTTTGCTATCCTGTAGATTCAAGCTACAGATTGCCTTTGATTCAGTTGCCAATGAAGAGGTGGGAGCTGGATTATGCTTGGTGGTGGTTTCATGACCAGCAGCTTTCATTTCTGTGCCTGCGTCTCGTGCTGTGCCATGTATTTGGTTCAAAGTAAAGGCTGGCTTTGAGCTTTCCAAATCCTTTGCTGAATTCTCATCTGCATCCTTTTTCTGCCTTTTAGGCAAGCTGCTCTCCATCTCCTTGCAGGCTTCTGTCTTTGTAGATTTGCCGTCACTTCCAACATCCTTGGAATCTTTGCTTTTCTCAACAGCTTGTTTCTTGCAAGGCTCCTCTACCCCTTCTAAAAACAAATACAGTGTTACTTTTTCATTCTTTAACAGTGTATTACAGGTACCCGACTACTGGCAGTTGATTTAAACTTCCTACAGATGGGCCAAAACAGTTCAGTTCAAAATCAGACTCCAAATGCTATTCAGACATTTCAGTACGCTTCCTCCCTGCCCACCACCACACACACCCTCCCCCCGGTTTTTTTTTCTTTTTCTTTTTTTAAAAAAAAAGGCAAGGCTTTGATTTAGACTCACCCCTTCTTTTAACAGGGAAGGAAGCCCATGTTGTGGACACAAATTCCACTATGATAAGTGACATACAAACAAAACAAAAACAGACCCTGTAGCAAGAAACTTGATTTTTTACCAGAAGGCTCTCCAAAGCTCCAACTGGGGAACATCACTCAATACAACATGGGTGGAGTTGAAAGATTATCATCATCTCCTACTCAAGTGTCATTTTAACATGCATTAAACTGGGGCACAACTAGAACTGGATCCCAAGGACACAAATTCCTGTAACACACTGAAAAATCCACCGGTGGAAGAGACTGGACTTGGCTATTCTGAGAGACTGGATTACGCAAATCTGTAACTGCACCACCAATGAAAGCAAAGCCCCAGACTCTCTACATTGCACTTTCCAGCACAGCACTGAGACCAACCAAAGCTGGCAGTGGGACAAGCCCACCACATGCAACTTTGAACCCAGGTTATCCCCTAGTTCCTTTTTAAACAGAGAGGAGGGAGGAAGGGAAGAAACCTGAAGGAAGACTCATCGTGGCCAGGAAACCTCCCTGGTTCCCTGGCAGCTCCTCTATGGAACCATCACCAAAGGTGTGTAACTGGCATGCTTTACAGAGACCCCCAACACCTGCCCCTTCAGTCAGTAGATGGAGACCCTAGCACATACCTCTCTCAAGTGTGCCAGGCTACAGCCCTTTCACTGCTACCTCAAGAACCTCTTGCTGCAGTTCTGGCCCCACTAAGTCTTGGGCACACCTGGTTAGCCTCCTCCTGACCCTGGCTAAAGCTGGCCGGGAAGGAGGCTGTGGCCAAGAGGACCCTAAGACTGAAACCATCTTCTTACCCTTATCCACACACATCTCCAGGCCGTGTCTCACTGTGAAGTGTCCACTGACTCCTTGGATTCATTGGAGGGCCAGCAGGTGCTGGCCAAGGTGCTCTGTTCTTAACCTCTGACCCCCCCCCACTCCCATCCATTTTTACTTTCATTGTCCCCCATCATAAGTTGATGACAATTAGTGATTCCCTCAAAAAACATAGGGGTCTAGCAGATTCTTTGTGGGCTCAAGCCCATGACTTTGTGTGCAAATAGGCCCGGTGTCCTGGTAGCTCCTCCACGGAGCCATCACCAACAGGAGCATATCTGGCATGTTTTACAAATCATGCCAACACCAGCTCCTTCCGTCAGCAGAGGAAGACCTTTGTGCACACACCTCTCAAGTGTGCCAGACTGCAGCCCCTTCATTGCATCCACAAGAATCTCTTGCTGAGGTTCTGGCTCAGGGATCAGCAACATTTTTGGGCTGTGCGCCCAAAACACCTGCAGCCTCGACTTATAAGATATTGGCATGCCGGGGGCCTGATCCTTGCTGTGGCAGCGCAGCCTCACCCCGTTCCCCACTGCCCACCCTGAGGTGTGTGCGCCAAATGAAACACCTTTGTGTATCATGGTTCTGGCACATATGCTAGGGGGTTGCCGACTCCTGTTCTGGCTGCCCTACACCTCATCTGTGGCCACACCAAGTCCTGGGACCTCATGGTCAACATCCTTCTAGCCCTAGCTAAATTAGCTGTCTACCAGACCAGGAAGGAGGCAACAGCTGGGAGGATCCCTGGGGACTGTGGGACCACCCTCCTGTCCCTCATTTATGTCTCCAAGCAGTTTCACTAAGTTGTATCCACTGGCTCCTTGGACTTGCTGGAGGACCAGCAGGTAGTGGCTCGTGTGGTCTGTGTGATATCCCCCCTTGGAACACCTATTAACCTCTGACCCATGCTCCTCTTCCTGTTATTGCTTAAGTTGTCCCAAGAACTCTGTTGGTGCACACTTAATGGTCCCCTCTAAGAACAAAGGAGGCTAGCCAGGTCTGTGGGGACTCATACCTATAATTATTTTGTGTACCAAGTAGGACCAGTCAACCTCTTCCTGGCCCAGCTAAATGAGCCATCTATCTGACCAGAAAAGAAGATGCAGCTGGCAGGACTCCAGTGACTGTGAGACTGATTTTCCCATCCCTCATGCCTTCATATCTCCAGGCACTAGGTGACTTCCACTAGCTCCTTGGAATCAGTAGAAGGCCAGTGTGCTCCGCTTGGTGCCTTCCCCTTGGAACACTTGTATTAACTTCTGAACCACACTCCCATCCCTCTTATTGCTTTAGTTGTCCCACAACTCTGTTGGTGCATACTTAATAGCCCCCTCTGTAAAGGGAGGGGGCTAATTGTTTCTGTATGGGCCCACACCCATGATTCTTCCATGTCCCAAATAGGCCTGCCCCTCATCCCTTCACATCTCCAAGTACAGTTGCACTGGGTAGCTTCACATCTCCAGGCTCTGGGTGGCTTTCACTGGCTCCTTGGACTCGCTGGAAAGGCAGTGGGCACAGGCCGATGTGCTCTACTCAGCATTCCCCTTGGAGCACTTGTTACTGGAACACTGCATCCTAGAGGTTTTTAAGACCCAGGTAGACAAAGCCTTGGCTGGGATGATATAGTGGGGAGGGCCCTGTTTTGAGTAAATGGTTGAACCAATGACCTCCTGAGGTCCCTTCCAACCCTAGTTTTCTATGATTCTTTCACCTCTGACGCTCACTCCTCTCCCCGTCCTTGCTTTAGTTGTTCCAAGCATTCTCCTGGTACACACGTAATAGCCCCTGCCAACCGGTTCTGTGTGGGCCCGTGATCCTTTATGAGCCAAACAGGCTTGCCCCTCATCCGCTCATATCTCCGGGCAGTTGCACTATACTGTGTCCACTGGCTCCTTGGGCTTGTTCAAGAGCCAGCGGGCGCTGGCCAGCATACTCTGTTGGGTGCCCCCCCCAGAGCACTTGCGATTCACCCGACCCTCGCTCTTCTCCCGATCACACTTCAGCTGTCCCCCAGTATCTGCAGATGTGCAGTTACCAACCTTCTCTAGCAAGGTGGACCTGACAAGTTCTTTGTGGGGCCCTGTCCTTGCTTTCCAACACACCCACGCCTGTCTCTGGGCAGAGCTGCACTGGGTGGCGCCCACTGCCTCCCTGCTAGACCCACGGGCACCCTGCTCTGCCTCCTCCCAACGCACTGCCCCATGCTCCTGCCCCCGCAGCCCCTCCCAGGGCTCCCGGTGCCCTCCCCATCCCAAGGGGTGACCCGCAGGCCTGGTGGCGGCGCGGCTCGGATCTGCTAACCATTGCTACTCGATATGCCTCTTTTCTTCACCTTGGCAACCGGGTGGTGCGCGGTGGTGGCAGCGGAGTGGGCAGGCGCGCTGTTCACCACCAGCCCGTGGGCCATGTCCAGCGCCTTCGCCATCACCTGGGCTGGGTACCT